CACTTGCCATTCTGAGAGACAGTGCTAATTCTTCATCCACAGAGGTTACACCATTTTACCTTCAGGTTAGCAATGTATGAGCCTGTCTGCTTCTCCAAGAAGGTGTTATCTAATTTTTTGAGCTTTGCTAATCTGATAGACAAAACTGGTATTTCACTGTAGTTCTAACTTGTTTCTCTTTTATTATGCACTTGGTAGAACATCTTCTCAAAAGAGCCATTTGTTTTTCTTTTTGTGTGAACTATTTGTTGTATCTTTCACATTCTGTATGTGGGTTGGTCTTCTCTTCAGTTTATAGTAGTTTGTCATATATTTGTAATTTGTGTCTTAAGTATTTCCCCATATTAAGACAACAAGCTAGGGCGCCTGGGTGGCTCAGTTGGTTAAGCAACTGCCTTCAGCTCAGGTCATGATCCTGGAGTCCTGGGATCGAGTCCCGCATCGGGCTCCCCGCTCAGCGGGGAGTCTGCTTCTCCCTCTGACCCTCTTCCCTCTCGTGCTCTCTATCTCTCATTCTCTGTCTCTCAAATAAATAAATAAAATCTTAAAAAAAAAAAGACAACAAGCTAGTCTAACCTCTTTTATGAGTGCTTTTTGCTATGCAACTTGATTGTTTCCCATTTTCGTTTCTTATTTCTTATGTTTGGGTCTTCTCTCCCCCTTAAATGATTAGATTAAATGGCTGATAGGTTTTATTGTTTCTTTATTTTAGTCATCAAAGTCTTGCATTTAAAATATATTTAGTAATATGTAAAAATGTGAATTGTTTAATTTTAGGTGAAATAACCTAAATAAAGTCCCATGACGCCAATTTTAATTTTTTTTATTTTTTTAAATTTAAATTCAGTTAGCCAACATATAAATAGAAAGAAAATTCACTAATTTTTGTAAATTAAAAAAAAGATAAAATGAAATCATCCAAATGCTAATAGTGTTTTACATCTGGTTAATGAGTCAGATGGTGATTTTTAAGTTTGTACATTTTTTAACATTTTCTAGAATTTAAAAAGTGGTTTAATGTTTTCTAATGGACTTTAATTTTTAGAATATTTTTAGATTTATAGAAAAACTACACAGAAAGTAGGTAGAGTTCCCATATACTCACACCTAGTTTTTCCTATTATTAAAATCTTCCATTAGTATGGTACATTTATTGCAGCTAATGAACCAGTGTTGATATATGGTTACCTGAAGGCCAGGCTTTATTCAGATTTCCTTAGTTTTCACCCAGTATTGTTTCTCTGTTCCAGGACACCATACTAAATTTAGTTGTCATTGGGCTTCTCTTGGCTGTGACAGTTTCTCAGCTGTTCCTTGTCTTCAGTGGCCTTAACAGTGTTGAGGAGTATTGGTCAAGTCTTTTGTTGGATGCCTCCCACTGGAAATTATCCTATGTCTTTGTCATTATTAGACTGGGGTTATATGGGTTTTTGTGGAAGAAGACCATAGAGACAAAGTACTGTTTCATTACATCCTGTTATGTTATTTCATGACATACTATCAACATGATAATGATATAATAATATTATAATAGATAATATAATATGGTAGATTAAATGATTGCATTAGAGAGTTTTTATGTTTTATTGGTTTTGTTTTGTTTATGTGGTATTTTTTCCCAAAGAACTAGTTTTCAGACCTTTTTATTAGTTCTATTATTTTTCTATTTTATTATACTTAATTCATTATTTTCATGTTTTTATACTTATTAGTATAAGTACACCAGTCATGATCTACTTTAGTAGGATCCCACAGGCTCTAAGATGTGGGATGTGTTCTGTTATTCTCACTCTTTCTATATTCTGCAAAATCTATATAGATTTTTTTGAGTTGTTTAGAAGAGAGTTTTAAAAAATATCCAAGTGGTAGGATTCTGTATCATAATTTTGTGATTAGGTTTTAATTTTTCTTTTGTTAGTAGATTCTCTATTATCTCTGCCTTTTTTGTGTATGGTTTATTTGTAGCCTAATAAATGGGAAATGACCTATCTTATTAGTTATGCAATTTTGATTTGTTTATGTCTCTACTTAATTTGGCTCATTGGCCTGTCATAAGCTAAAAAGGGTACATTAAAGTTACCTGCCTCTACTGTGTATCTGTCTGTCCTTGTATTTGCTGTAGCTTTTGCAGTGAATTTTGGTGCTATTACTTGGTGTGTTAGATCTTTAATACTGTTGAGTCTCTCTGCTTTGGAGATATCTCTTATATGTAGCATACAGTTGGGAGTTTTATCTTGATTTCCAATCTTAGACTTTTTGTGTGTGTGTGTGTGTGTGTGTGTGTAGTTTACCATGGCCATTCATTGACATAGCTAGTATTTCTGGCTTAGTTTACTATCATATTTTATGTCTTTGTGTTATTGTTTCTATTGCTTCTTACAGCAAAATCTTTCACTGTGTGGTCTGTTTTATTTTGTGTTCTTTCTGACAATTTAGAAGGTTTGTATTTTATTTTCAGTCCTTCCGGATGTTTATAACTATGTAAGATGCATTTTATCTTTTTTTAAGACTGTGCTAGTTGTCTCCCTTCTGAAATAAGTGATTACAAAATTAGTTTACAAATTTAGTCACAATTTTTATGTGCTTTGTGACAGCTTTTTTCCTGGTGAATTTGCTTGGTTTGCCTCCCCCCCCCCCTTTTCCTCCTTTATTTCTCCTGTAAGCATCTTTGTCTCTATCCTGTGCTTGTTCCCCTTTGAAGAGGAGAAGCTTCTTTAGATCGACATTTTGCAGTGGATTTATGTAGAGGAAAGGCCAGGAAGTATCTTAGGAGAACGGGATGATGGCTCCCTGGTTCGTGGCAATTTTGTTCCCAGGACTATGGCCGTGATTTCTTTTGGCCTCCTTCTGCCCAGGCAGCAGAGATCTGTAGCCAGGGGCTTCCCCCAGTGCAGGCCCCTCCTCCTGCTCTGCCTCATAGACACACTGCTTCCTGCCATGATGGCAGCCTGAGGTTTCCTTTGCTAGCCCTGCCCTCCTTTAGCCTCAGGTGTCCGAGGCAGCTCCTGCTCTTCTGTTTGGGAACCGTTGGTTTTTTCCATCAGGGAGGGCCAGCTACTGGTGGGCTCTGCCAACTTTATCCGAGATCTGCGGCCACAGGTGCTCTCTCGCCCCCGTTGGATCTTCGCTGCTTTTGGCAGCCCTTTACTGTTCTTGGCAGTCTTTCCTTAGAAGTTGTGGTTTGGGTTACAAATGTGTTCTAGTTTCGCTGAAGATAACACTTACATTTCTCTTGCTCTTTCTCCTTTATTTTAGGTGATTTGGGATACGAAAAGGAGTAACTGTATCCTGCTATCTTAGGAGTGTCTAGTGTTGCACATTTTTACGTGCTCTGGTTTCCACCAGATTAAACATTAGCCAGGGCACTCAGGATAGGGTTGGCATGCGCTAAAGCTGGGGTCTGCAAATAGAAAAGAAAGAAAATGGGAGTTGAGAATAAAATAGGAGAGTGAAAAAGGAATCCGTGGTATACCTGGTGTGCTGTGCGGCAGCAGGGTCCTTTCCTTCCCCCCTTGGACTGTGCCTGGGAGTGTGCCACTATTTGGGTGGGAGGTTGTGGCCAGACAGGGCAGGGCATGAAACATGCCTGCCTCTTGGTCTGTCTTGGGGGAGGTTGTTCAGAACCCAGCAGCTCTTAGGCCAGAGGGAAGTGCACACGCCTGTGCTCTGGACTGGATGCAGGGCTCACCTCTCCATCTTTCCTCACATGCAGGGCTTTCCAAGCAGCTCAAGCACCCTGGGTTCTGGCTGGCCTCCTAGAGATGGTGGCCAAATCCTCCTGCCTGGAAACCAGGATCCTGCCTCAGAGGAGGTTGTCCAGGGTCAGTGTTGTTAACCAGTGTTTATGTGCCCAAAGAAAGAGCAGGCCCATCCAAAGGGAAGGGGTACTTGTGGGATGCCCAGAGGATAGAGCCAGAGAGGAAAACCTTGCCCACAGAGTCTCAGGCTTGGCCCTTTATATTGTCTCGCAGATTACCACACTACACAGAGGGCATCATTTACCCCCCTTTTACAGATGAGGAAACCGGAGTCTAAGAGAGGCTAAGAGACCTTTCTTTGGACAAACAGCTTAGAGATGGAGACAGGGATTTGGATGCAGTTCTACCTGGTTCCAGAGCCTGGACACTAGCCCCCTTATCCCCTGCCTCCCACTCACCTTCCCATGGAGACTCCACCCCATCCTCAGATGGTTGTCTTGTGTCCATGCTCATGTCCCTGGGTGATTTTGCGGGTTCCTCACTCTGTCCTCTTTCTTGAGGCTGGCTACACTTTAGAGACTATTTAAGCTCCCCAGGGAAGCCGGGGTGGGAACCAACGGGCCACACCCTATACTTCTGCATCCCTGTGTCCTTGGACCCGTGTCCCCTCAGCCTCGGCACAGGCCTTGTCCCTGGGACAAAATACACCTGGGTTCTTCTCCAGTCTCTGCGGTCTTGGGTCAATCACTTTACTCCTCTAGGCTCAGTCCTTATTTCTAAAATAAAATTGTCTGTGATTACTGGAAGAGTAGAACATGGACTCTGACGCCAGATGATCTCAATGTGAATCTGAGCTCAGCACCTTATTAGCTGTGGGACTTTAGCTAATTACTTAGCCTTTCTCTTTAGTTTGCTCAACTATAAAATGGGAATAATAATGTACATGTCTTACAGGGAGGACTTAAGGATTAAATGATAATGTAAACTGTTTGGAACAGTGTCTGGCATATGGAAAGTACTAGATTAATACCAGATATCGTTATATTACTTGATTGTTCTCATTAATGTACGCAAAGGACCCAGCCTCTAGAGGGGCATAAGTGGCTATTGATGCTGTTGTCATAACCGGTGCCCTTTGCTTTCTTCCAGGAGCTTGGGCCCCTGCCCCAGCCCGGCAGAGGCTGTGGAGGTATACGGTCCAGAAGTCTGGTACGCAGCCCGGCGGCCCATCCCTGGCTGTGGGGAGCGGAAGCTCCCACGAGGTAGCAGTGGCCTGCAACGGCCCCCTCCCGGCAGTGAACCATGGGCCAGAAGCTCTCCGGGAGCCTCAAGTCGGTGGAGGTGCGGGAGCCGGCGCTGCGGCCGGCCAAGCGGGAGCTGCAGGGGGCGGACCCGGGGCGGCCGGCGCGGCTGGACCAGCTGTTGGACATGCCCGCTGCGGGGCCCGCAGTGCAGCTGCGGCACGCGTGGAACCCCGAGGACCGCTCGCTCAATGTCTTCGTCAAGGATGACGACCGGCTCACCTTCCACCGGCACCCGGTGGCCCAGAGCACGGATGGCATCCGTGGCAAGGTGGGCCATGCCCGCGGCCTGCACGCGTGGCAGATCAACTGGCCGGCGCGGCAGCGTGGCACCCACGCCGTAGTTGGTGTGGCCACAGCTCGGGCTCCTCTGCACTCGGTGGGCTACACGGCACTGGTGGGCAGCGACGCCGAGTCGTGGGGCTGGGACCTGGGCCGCAGCCGCCTCTACCACGATGGGAAGAACAGGCCCGGAGTGGCCTACCCCGCCTTCCTGGGGCCCGAGGAGGCCTTCGCGTTGCCTGACTCGCTGCTCGTGGTGCTGGACATGGACGAGGGCACGCTCAGTTTCGTCGTGGATGGCCAGTACCTGGGCGTCGCCTTCCGCGGCCTCAAGGGTAAGAAGCTGTACCCGGTGGTGAGTGCCGTGTGGGGCCACTGCGAAGTCACCATGCGCTACATCAACGGCCTTGACCGTAAGTGCCCAGTCCGGGGGCGGGCGGGGGGAAGGGCCAGGGGTTCCAGAGGCTGCCTGTCACCGGAGGCATTGGGGAGGGCGGCGGGGAGCAGGGGAGGCCCCCCCCTCCGTTGTCACTCGGGGTCGACCCTGCCCGGTAGAGGATGTGAACTCTGGGAATCTCTCATTTACTGGCTTGGTGGTCTTGCGCTGTGCCTCAGTTTTCCCACCTGCAAAAGTGGTACAAGGATAGTAATCTTGGTCAGGGTTGTTGTGAGGAGCAACTAAGATAATGTACGTGAAGTGCTTAGACCAGTGACTGGCACCTAATAAGGGCTTCCTGTGTTGATACTAATCATGAATCTTGCTGTCTGCATAAGGGTCGTACAAGTTGATGTCTCCTGTGTGCCAGGCCTCAAGCTCACAGCAGGAGGAGGGTGACAGTAGAAGGCATAGTGCCTGCACTTGAATGCCGTGTACTCTGAGTTACTGATAAATAATAAGTAATGATAATAACAACTATCATTTGTTGACCGCCTACTGAAGGCAGGGACTGAACACCCAATTTCCAGCTCTCCCTGGTGAAGTCTGTTAAAAGGGGTCACCTGGCCCTCATCTCTAGCTGATTATTACCTCCTGGGAATGAGAGCCCGAAGTTGTAGAATCTTTTGCTTTTTTCCAAGAGGACCCAGGAATCTAGATTTGTGTGAAAGAGCCCCATTTTTGAAGTTGGCAGCTGCTGAAAACACCATGTGGGCAAACAAAACCCCCTTGCAGGCTGTAGACAAGCCCCCAGACTACTGGGGGATGGTCCCTGGCAGCTTTGAGGCCTCCTCTCATTTAACAGGCACCATCGTGCTGTGAGGCAGCTTAAAAATCATGGCAACAAAATTGGTTATGGCTTCAGGAGGGAGTCCCTCAGGGATGCAGGGTGGCCTCTGCCCAGAGCCATGCGTGGCCACCAGCTGGGAGGAGCCTTGCGGGCTTATCCACTCCTCATCCACACATGACACTTCCTGCCACGCCCCTGATGAAGCTCACAGAGGCAGGTGCTTACAGCCAGAATTCCAGTTTATTCATGTCAGATGAGAGCTATAATTGCCCCCATTTCAGAGAGGAGAAAACAGAAGAGCAGAGCTACTGAGAACCAACGCCTACCCAGGTCTGTCAGCCTCCGAAGCCTATTCTTTTCCCATGCTCCCCCCCCTTCAGTTGAGGGACTGAGTGTACCACCCCAGAAAAGAAGTCAAGAACAAGATTTTACTCAAGTAAAATTTATATTTACCTCGAGCGTAGGGTAGGTTGGCTGTTTTCAAGGGTGGCGGGCCAGCAGAATGTGGCCAGTATGCTCATCTCTCTGACTGAGCCACCCAGGCACCCCAATGGTATGCTCATCTCTCTGGTGTAATAGGCGACGTTCTTCCTCAGATTTTATTTTCATGGTTGTTAGATGAAGATTGCCATTCATGGCAAAGTGTTGTTCTGTTTTCTCTGATTAACCAGTTAGATCTAGGAGCAGATGAGTGTGTCCTGAGAAGGGCTAGTTTAATCATCCCAGTGCCTTGTGGAGAATGCCTGGAACCCTCATAGACATGGGGGCGAGGCAAACCCCAGTGCTGAGAAAACCAACAGCAACAACAAACACTCTTTTCAAGCAGAATTGGAAAATTTACTTGCCAGAATTTATCATGGCAGCAGAAGAGTGGACTTGGCATACAAGTCTTTGGAGTCTGACACGCCTTAGTGCCAACTGTATCCCCACTGCTCAATGGTTTTGTGTCTCTGGTGAGTCATTCCAATGCCTTACAACTCATTTTGCTTATCAGTAAAATGGGACAGTATCAGGTCCCTTTCATAGCTGCTGTGAGATCGGTATGGTGGTACCAACTATATGGTGGCTGGCATTAATAGCCAGCAGGAGCTCCCTGAGCCAACAGTTGGGCCCCCAAGATGTGCTTCCTCTTGAGTATTGGTTCACACTCAGCTATTATCTGTTGCTTGGTTTTCAGGTACAAAGCTAAGGTGCTAAAGAGGCTGGCCAGTGGCTCCCCCAGGCATGTTAGGTTGAGGAGCAGTCAAGCCATGGTATCCTCCTTGGTGCAATGTTGGTGGGGAGCTGGGTGGGAAAGGACAGCTGTTCTTGGGGCATTTTGAGCTCCGGGATCCTTCAGGTGGCTGGAGAAGGTTGGTGTGGCTGAAACTTGGCCTATTCCACCCTCCTCCCCACTTGCAGTGATTTTTGAGTTTGGCTGAAGCTGGAATGCTCGTCAGGAGGCAAGGGAAGGACAAGATGTCACGTGAGGCAAGCCTGTAGCATCTGTCGTTCCGTGTCAGGATTGGCTTGTCTGCCGTGGCACTGGCCTATTCTCCAGATGGGAGTAATGTTCTCTATTATGGGCAGGATATGATGGCAGAGAGGGGGACCTCAGCTTTTCTGGGCTTTGAAAGGCCATGGTCAGCCTAGGACAAACCCTGACCACAGAGTGGGCCATAGGACGTGCCACGGTGGAGTCTGATCGGGGCTGGTTGGGAGGGGGCTGCGTGATGCCTGTAGCCCGTGACCTGGGCTGATGTCCACCAGGGGCATCCCTGGGCACCGGGAAGGGTTTGGCCCTAGGGAGTCCCTGGGCAGGGAAGGTGACCCAAGGTGGGGTTCTGTACATGAAAATTCTGAGCCAACATTGGTTGTGGACATGATGTCAAGTCTCCACACTCGGACCTGACAGGGATGTGGGGAAGCACCGTCAGAGACAGACTGCGGAACAGAAAGGCAGGGCTGCTCTCTGGGGTTGCTTCCCCAGAAGATCACTGGGGAGAGAAGTATGCCCAAGGCCCCTCACAAACCGTATTCGACTCTGGCCCCAGTGCTCACCAAAAGGCTGGGCACAAGGATGACCTCCTCTCTCTGAACCTCAGTGTTCTCCCTTGTAGAATGGGCATGATAAAGCTCCAGGCACAGAGCACACAGCCATTGGTGCTCATGGCTTTCATTAACTAGGTGAGCTGAGCCAGGTCCTGAGCTTCACCTATAGAATACAACAAAAGTGGCTTGAATAGAAGCTTCTCCTCTAATGTGATGGAAGCAAGTTGATGGATATCCTTTTCTCAGTGTTTGAATTTTTATGACTATGAAAGCAAGACTCAAAAAGGACTAACCGCATTTAACTGTGAACATGTGTTCGTTGGGGGTAGAGCTCCTAGAAGCATGTTTTCCTGTTGCAAATGCGTTCTTCAGCCATGGCATGGAGTGGAGCAGGTCTGCATCTCAGGGTTTACCGCAAAGAGCTGCAGGATGCCCAGGGGGGAGGTCGGGCGAGCGGGCAAGCTGTCTCTGGATGACCAGGTCCACAGCCCAAGTGATAACAGCAATAATAACACACCACCCATACCTACCTCCTACGTACTGCTTAGTCTGCGCTGGCCTTCATGCTAAGCATTGTACAAATTTTCACTCATTTAATCCTTGCAACTACTCTTTCAGCAAATGCCTGTATTATCTCATTTTACAGTGAAGACATTGAGGCACAGAGAGCTTGAGTCAGTTCCTCGAGATCACACAGCTAGTGATGGGGGGAACCAGGATATTCAAAATGAGGCACACTGGCCCAATGGGCCCCTTGTGGAGATGTTTGCAGAGGGGGCAGGAAGGGAAGGAACAGGAGAGACTGCTCCACTGGGCTGGGTGGTCACGCAGCCACCTGGACCTTTCCTTCAGCCGTGGATCTGGGTGAGACCCTGAGATGCTGTCCTGGCCGTTCTCCTCCCTCCAGCTTTCATCCCCAGCCCTCAAAGCTCTCGGCTCAGCACAGAGCTCCATGGGGTGTTCTGAAAAGTTAGCTGCATCAGGACAGCCCAGCAGTGTCTGTGAATCAGGCATGCTTTGGTCGCTAACAGGAGAATGTCACTGAAAATGTCCCAACCGCTGTGAGGTTTGGCCCCGCTGTTGTGAGGTGGGCCAGGCCTTTGGAATCGGCTCTGGGCTGGTTTCTGGAATTGCTCCTCTGCTCCCTGGCTCCCCCTGCCACGTGTTGGAGGCCAGGAAGCTTGACAGAACAGCTTTGTCTCCTGTCTTGGAGATCTTGGGTGGTGAGTGGTGTATGGGCGACACAGGAAGTGGAGAGGAGCCCCAGACAGAGAAAGGTGGGCTTGGAGCCCTGCGCAGCTTTGATTTGGGGGTCATAACGATTATGCTTTTTTTTATACCACCCATGTTTTGTGCTCTGGGCCAAGTGTTCTTTTCTCTCTCTCTCTCTCTTTTTTTCTTAACCCATACAATAAACTTTGAGGGGGTGTTGCTGTTATTTCCATTTTGTAGATGGGAAAATGGAATCTTGGAGAGGTAAAGAACTCATGAACTTGCTCAAGGCCAAGCAGGTAGCCAGCAGGAGAGCTGTGCTTCACCCCAGTCCATCAGCACTCCTGTGCCCTGCTCCTGCTGCCTGGGCCAGCCCTGACTCCATTTTGCCCACCACGTAGAGCCTGATTCCACAGAGCAGGTGTCAGTGCCAAGGCTCCTTCTCTGGGGGGTTAGAGAGTGGGAAACGTAGGATCTCAGGCCTAACTGGCAGAGAGGGCTTGTCCACCTGCATCGAGCCGGGAAAACTGTATTTCCAGACGTTGTTCCTAGATGGTTTAATTGACCTGCCAACAAGTATTTATTGGCGCAGCGGCTCAGCAGAAGACACTGGCAGCCAGCCAAGGCTTCTGGTATTGATGAAGGCCAGAGAGAGTTTCCTACCAGGCTGAGTACAAGGACACCGTCCCCTTGCCAGAGACATCCTCCAGTCTGCACTGAACTCACCACCTTCCTGCTTGACTCCCAGGTGTCTCCCAGGTGCCACGGTCCTCCCAGCCTCCCTGACATCGAGATGTAGCTCCTCGGCCCTCCCGACCCAGGCCTGGTCCCTCTTATCATTCTGCCCTGACCCCAGCCCACCCTAGCCCTCAGCCCAGGGCTCTGCCCCCTGCATCCTCATTCAGCACCGAGTCTCCCCCATCCACCCAATTCACTTACTTTTC